CGGGGCTGCGGCGGCATTCGGGGGGCACTGGCGAGGACGCCGGCGTGAGCTGCGCCCAGGCAAGGTGTCGGCGCCCGCCGCTTGCTCCTCTGCAGCTGCGTGGGAAGGAGATGGGAGAAGAACGGACCCCAGTGGGGAGACTGGCACAAAGATGATAAAAATGTGTCGCTCTAACTTTTTTGATGAAAAAGTTTTCGTTTCAACTGATTTTTTTTTTAAAAGCATTTCCCTCAAGTTTGCCAATCTCGAAGAAAACCAAGGAAAAATATTTCTCTTTGTTCTCTTCTTTTATGACTCCTTTTTTTTCCCCTTTTTGCATTTGAAAAGGCAGAAGAGATAAGATCTTTGGCTCCCAAAATGACTGGACTAACCTGGAAACCCCCGGCCTTGTGTTTAGGATTGCACTGAAGGAGATATATTCTCTCCTCCCCTGAGGAAATTCTAACACGACCTTTCTGGGTGCTCTGTCCTCTCCCTCATAAACGTAGAAGGAAGGAATGTGTCTGTATATAATGTATAGAGAGAAATATATACACACACTTGCAGTCTAAAATCTGTATTGACAGAACAAGAAGCAACTTCAGAAGGATAATTTTTGTACATCGACAGATATCATTATTGAACAAACCACATTTAAAAGAGCAATTCTCGCACCACCACAAGCACTAGGAAAACCCCATGCTAAAAAGCAGCCTACTTCAGTGCTACAGATGCCTCTACAAAAGCTTTGCATCACTGGACTGCCTCACCTCTATGAAATGCACAAAATGAAGGTGTAATGATTAAACACAGACCGACCGGGTCTCCCATTTCCGAGCTGAGCCAAGTTCTGCGAGGGGGAAAGGAAACTAATCTTCCAGGTTTCTGAGCGAACGCTCTCCCGAGGATCTCCCAGGCTTTGGACTTGGCCAGGACAGGTTCTCCTCCCCTCTCACAATCTAGAGCAGCTCAAGAAATCATATAATACATGCCATGCCTGCACCGGTGGGTGGGCAGTCGGGGGTTGTTGGCACACTATGCACCTTCTGGGTCCTTGTTATCTCTTCCCTGCCCCCCCCTCCACAACACTCTGGCATGCCTCTGCACTCTTGCAGATATTCTGGTCTCCAGACCTTTCTTGTGCCATTGGCACAGAGTACAGAAAAAGGGCTGTGGTCCAGAACTGGGGCTCAGAGGTTGAAAACAGGAGACAGGCACACAGTATGAACCCAGGGAAGAATGACTTTATAGTTGACATGACCTGAGAGACCGAAAGGCTTTGTTTTCTTCCCCAGCGTGGAAAACAGATTTGCTGAAATGATGAGCAACGCCTCATTACAAAGTAAGAAAAAGTAAAAGTGGAAGGTGGAACTAAGAGGCGAGGCAGCACCCCCTCCCCCAGCACCTTATCACTGACATAGGCAACAGCGATGAATCATCACAGGCCCTGTAACACCCCAGGCCACCATTGGTGACATTTTTCTTACTTCTCTTCTGTGCCGTCTTGTGCTGGAGTATAAACATCTGAACATGCTCTAACTGACCAGAGTACCTAAAGGAGTTCAAAACTCTTTTGTTAGTTTTTCGAACAGCGGGCAACCGCAGGCAGTCACCTCACAGACACTGCCATCAGCAGATTCCTACCAGAGATACAACAGCAGTCCTAGCAAAGAAGGGCACGCACACACAAACCAAACAACCGCAGCAGGATATACCCATCACAGACCCACACCGCCTCTTTCCTCATCAAAACCCAAATCTACTCCCAATCTAAACTAACAGGATCAAATTCATTTTAGAGAGGAGGAATCTTCCCTCTTCCACTAGCCACTCTAGTCCCTTCTTCCCAAACACCCTCTGATCCTTCCTGACTGCTTTTCATCCTTTACCTCTGATCTTTGCTTTCTCTTAGTTCACCCTTACTTCTTTTCTCCAGGTGTGGACTCACCCACTGGACCAACCTGGGGCTGCAGGAAGGTACTGAAGAAGAGGAGGAGGTTTGCTCCAGAAGGGGAAATTCCTATTTTCTTGCATCCTTGTGTCATCACTAGGATCTCTTTGGGGGATCTGAAATTTACCCCATTCTCTGGGATAAGTTACATGTGAGGGAGGGACACCAGAAGGGAGAGATGGAGGTGTAATTTCTGTCCTTTCCCTTTGGTGGCTGAAATTTCAGTTTTCATACCCCAAAGCACGAGTCTTAACAATCTGGGATTGCAGGCAGCTTCATCTGGCCACCACCCTTGCTATCAGAAAGCAAGAGATCAAGGATGCGCAGATGCCTTGGATGTGTGTCAGGAGCTGAAACTATGTTTCAAGAAGCGGCATTTCCCACGGGAGCACCCCAGAGAAGCGGGGATTTGTTGGAGTATGAGCTGGGCGAAAAGGGAGGAACTAGAATGGCTCTGGTGGGCTGGATTAGGGATTCCGAAAGGTTGAGTAACACATGCAAAAAAGTCTCTACAATTCTCCAGGATGACACATAAGAATTTCAGGATCAAATGGACGGGATCACGGGACTTGGCTACCCTGGTGCCCTATCGCCTTGACGCCCCAGAGGTATTAAAGATGCATCGCTTGCTATCCTGCTGCCTGCGCGGGGTTTTTTTGAGAGTGACGCCAAAAAGGTGCAACGAATGCTGGGGGCAGCTGGGGGTGCAGGAGCAGGAGGTCTTTTTCCATCCCTTGCTAAGTGTTTTCCCTGACCTTACAACCGAGAAATAGTGCTGGTTCTGGATTCTTCAGTGTAAATGATCAGCTTTGTGGGTGGGAAACAAAACCTGGGGCTGGTGAGAGTGTGTGTGTGTGTATAAGCGGCTGTTTTAACACCTTTTCTTTATTGTCCTGGCTGTCGGACACATCAAACCAAGCCCGGATTTCTCAGTTTCTTGCCATCAGATGATTGCATTTCAAAAGGAGCTGGGACAATGTAGCTTGGTCACACCTCGATTCAAGTGCAGCAATGGCCTGTCAATGCGCCTCTTATGGCCAGCAGGGCAGGAATTATAAAAATCTCTTGGGTTTACACAGAAAGTGGGAGAATGGGGGGGGGGAGAGGGGGTCCGGGGGGTGATCCCATGCCAGGGGAGCCCATATTTCCCACATCTCAGGGCTGCATGCCCTGTCCGAGCGCTCTCCAGATACTGGGAATGATAACATGGGTTCATTGTTCCTGGCTCCAGCTTCTTCCCTCCCTACCTTCAAACAAGCACACAAAACCAAAGCAGCCCCCCTCTTCCTGGCCTTCCCGTGCCCCCCAAAGAAAGCGTGTGTCCCCCGTCCCCCCTGCTGCCCAGCTCCTGCTGCGGCTCAGGTGCATGGCTGCCACCCGCTCAGGCGCAGGCAGCACCCAGGCAGCACCAGCGCACCAGGGAATGGAAAAGCTCGTTAAAGGCATCTTTAGGAGCGGTGCTAATGGGGCTCATCACTCCTGCGTGCCTATTTGAAGAAAGGGAGAAAGCTGCGCAGGGAGAGCTGGCCTGCGCCCAGCACCTGCCCCGTACTGGGTGCTCCTACCTATTTTCATGACCCTCCCAAAGACAGAGGTGTTGTCCACCGTGCTGCAGTTCCACCGCCGCTGCCGAAACTGGTACTGGCACTCCTTGATGGCACTGCGGGCCCCTTCCCCGATGAAGACCATGTGCTCCTGGTAGAGCTGGCAGAGCTTGCGCTGCCCAGGGGAGAGCCCCGGCAGCTGGCTGCACACCGGCTGAGCGCCGATGATGTACATCTCAGGCCTCTGGATGGGGTTCATGGCCAAAGACCTACGATGAGAAAAACATCCGAGGGAGTCGGGAGGGAGAGGCCCCCTCCGCGAAATGCCCGGCACCTCTCCCCGCCAGCCCGGCCCGGCCCCGCTCCCAAAGCCCGGGCGCATTTCTCATGTCAGCTGCCTCCCTCTTCGGCTCTGCCAGATGCGAGGCTTTTCCAGGGCTCCAGCGGGAGAAAGGCAGCTCGTTTGTAACCTGAGTTTTAAACACAGAGGACACCCGGGATGGGGAGGGGGCAGAGAGAAAGCTCAGCACTTTCTCTGCAAAAGAAGAGTGAGCTGCTTTTTTACAGCGAGCGATGCCTGCCTTCAAGCCAGGCTTATTCTCCGCTCTTTAGGGGAGGGGGGCTCCGCGGCTGCTCCCCGGGCAACGGGTAGGAAACCTTACCCATCCTCTCCGTACGCTTTCCCCGCACCCTAAAGCCGGGACGGGATTTCAGCGAGCCCGTACAAAAGGAGCTCAGAAACGCCTGCAGGAGAGGGGCTGCGTCCCACGTCCCCAGAAACTGGGCAGGGACGGCGGGAGGAGGGGGAGAACCTGGAAAGAAGCGGGCTGCTGCGAAAGAAGCCCAGGAGGCAGCGCAGTTCCCGCGGGGAGCGCAGGGCAGCCGCCCCGCTCCCGCCCCCGTCGGTCCCCGCTCGG